GAAGCCTGCCAAAGTGATATATGGGCGTATGGTAAGTAGAGAATTTTTATAGATTTTTTTAGACTAGCTAGCGACCCTTCTTGATTTTCTAGCACCAAACTCAAAATGGCCAAATTTGAATCGTCATTTTCGAAAGCTTCGTTCTCGAGGGGCAACTCATATAATGTCAAGCTTAAACATCTATTATAGAGCATGAACCTTCCTTTATTTTTAAGATACCGAATCATCAATTTTGGTTTGCTCCTTGTAAAGTTATTGAGTTTTCTTTGAATTACGCAAGAACTTTCGTGCCAACCTAATATTACTGACCTATTACTGACCTTACAAAGTATTAGGCTAATTTTCGATTTGAAAGATGAAGATTTTACAAATTAGGGTGGGTCAGTGCGTAGTCGTGAAATAGAGAAATACCGCAAATTAACCCGAAAAATTCGCGTGTCTCGCCAAAAAAAGATAGCTCATAGAAAGAGGAGAAAAAGTTGCATCGAACAATTCCTGAACTGTTTACCGTTTCATGTTATACAAGGTTAGAAGAGTGTGTAAATGATCACTTCAAAAAATTTATTTTAGAAATTCCAAAAGACAAGCCACAGAACTACAAAAAATTGCCACAGTTGGCAAAAGGTTTTCCCTATCTGCTAGTTATTAAAACTTTCCCAAAAGTTTCATATAAAATTTTTGAAAATTAGCGAAATTTAAACATGGTGAAAACGGCGGGTTGTAATTTTCAGCAAAGTATCTCAGCACTCTTTTAACGAATTACACTGAAATTTTGGCAGTTGGAAAGAGGAGGCAATTCCGCATAGGATAAAATTACAAATTGTATCCTATGCAGAACTTTTGGTTTTTCGAATATTCGACTTTCGAAACTCTAATGTCACGAGTAGGACGCACCTTTTTTTATTTTTCAAGCAAGCCTCTCAGCCCACTCTACAAACGAGCCTTACGTCGCATGATATGATGCTCTCAGGCAATATGCAGCATTGTATGTTTTGTAATCGCGAAGTCCTTCAGCTGATTTGTGCTGATTTTTTCTAAATCTTTTAAAAGAATCCGCCTCGTCCTGTACTCGTGAACTTGTTGTAACATTTGAATATCGAATATCATTCGACTTTCGAGTTTTATTCGATTTTCTAATGATATTCAAATAAATTAAATGTCAATAATACTTTTTATGGGCGAATAAAACATCTAACATTAGTTTATTCACACAAATAATTGGATTAGACACTTTTTGTGCTACAATTTGTGATGGGAAAAGTGGTGAGACTAAGTGGTTAGACTAAGAAACCTGAGAACTCAAAGCGTACATCTATGACGGTCAAAAAATTATTTTATCTCGAAGTAGCTGGCTTATCCGACTCGGCCTTGCCCTGTCAAAAGCCTATGATAAAGATGCCATACCTATCCCTGTACAACTTTCTCTGTGCCCACTTCTAAATGATATTCTTTGACGACTGCCCCGCCTCGTGCAATTACAGTACCGTGGGCGTGCATTTTTGAACCCTTTTTAGCTTGACAGTACTACGAAAAAAAGCTCATTCCTTCTCTTAACTGTGTCTTCGGCGATCGCCTCGTAGATGTTAGAAAGATACTATAGGGGCCTGCAGGATCGCGAGAGTCGGACGTGCGGCCATCGCGCCGCGCACGTCCGATGTCACTAAGGCAGGTGCCAAACTTATCCGCTTCAACCGGTTCGTTTGGTTCATGGGTAAAATCACTATATGTCCAAAAAAGGTGGTGAACCGAATGAACCTGTTGAACATGATAAGTCTGGCACCTACTGAGTCGTCGGACGCACATCTGACGTGCGCGGCGCAATGGCCGTACGCACGTCCGACTCTCGCGATCCTCAGGCTCCTATACCTGAAATGAAAAACAAGAAGGAAAAACGATGTGAAATGCTTGACAAACGAAGGAGATCAAAGGACAGGGATGCTGTGAGCTACTACTAAGTCCCTGCGCGAAGGAATGAGCTTTCTTCATAGTTGCAATGATAAGATCACGGTTATGATTGGTATTGCAGGTTTTTCATGTTGCAGGTCAATGTTTCATTATAATTCGACGTGTTTGTTAGGATAAACTATTAAAGTAGTGATTACCTTTAGCACTTTTACGTCAGGGACAACATGTGGAAGTGCTGAAATGAAATTCGAGTGGTCCTATCCAAGGAAAGTGCATGATAGCCACGCTGCTTTCAAACGAAGCACCTTTTCATTTGATTCTGCCCGGGATAATGGTTCGTGATCTTCAGAATCAATGGTAGGTAGAAAGGAAGAGGCATTTAGAAAATGTGCCAATTCTTTCCTTACCTTTCAGTATTCATAAAAGGAGAAAGTAAGATATTTGACGCGAGAACCTAAGAGAAAGGGAAAGCGAATGACAAGTAACGCCTAACAGTAGTGCCTAACATGTAAAAGCTAAAAAGAAAAACGATGCGAAATGCTTAAATCAACAAAAGAAGTTAAACCAGTGCTGCTGCGAGCTACAGCGTTCCCGCTCGCCGCACGTACTGTCAAGCTGAAATTGCTAAATGGTACGCTCAGGTGGTGTAATTGCAAGGGGTCGAAACAGTCGTCGACGAATATCCTTTACATGCCAATTCGTTATTCCGGCTGTGTTAGTAATCAGCATGCTCGGATACCTCCCCTGTCCAACTCCCAGTCCCGTAGCTGAAACTCTGCAAGAAATTGATAAAATCGATAAAAGTGACGGAAACTTTTGAAAACTAATATTGTATTCGTAATCAGCATGCTCGATCCCCCCCCCCCCTCGTGTGCCAACCCCCAACCCCTAGCTAAAACTTCGCAAAAATTGATATAATCGGTATCGATGGATAACGAAAAGTAGCCCATGACGCCCGCCCCGCCCCGAAATGTATGTGTACCAAGTTTGGGTCGGTTCAAAAATGGAATTTTGGATTCGGAACATACGTACACATTACATTACACGTACTATTCGAAACATACATACCAGAGGCGGTCAGGATTTCTGTCCGGGGAGGGATGGGGGGGGGAACGACAAAATTTTTTCGCGTTAACCACGCATTACGAAAAAATTTATGGGGTGCTTCCTAAAATTTTTTCGTGCCCATAATCCCTGCAATTTAAAAAAAGCTAATTTCTGGAGAATAGGAAAATTCTTTCACAGGGCTTATTTGAATTTTTGAAAAATTTTAAGAATTATTTCAATCATTTTCATGTATAAAGAAGTCATCTGCACATTTTGTAACTCACTTTAGTAAGTTTCGAAAATTTAGCGACCCATTCTCTGGGAAGGGGGGCTCTCGGACCGACACAGATACATACATACAGACAAACAGACTTTCAGCTTCATAAGATTGTGGCGCCCTTGACTAGTGAAATTAAGCAACTTCTGTTAGCAAAAAAGCGGCTCCTCTTTATACTGTTCAGCTCACCTCACAATTTAGACATGTCCCCCATTCAAAGTTGTGTTGGTACACAGGATGAAAGTATATTGGCAATATTTGATCGTTGATTTTCCTCCCGCACTTTTTTGTCCATAGAGCAGCACTTCTGTAGTTAGCTTCAACTTAAATCTACAGTATGAAATAATCCACCGATCGCACTTCACTGCTGTGAGATTACCTGAAAAAAACTGGAGAGAATTTTGGGACAGTGGGGGCCATATTTTGCCTGAGAAAGAAAATTTCAAAAAAAAAATCACACATTAGGCTACTCAAAGTTACTGAAAATACAGAATTCACGCCCAAACGTAATAAAATGTGGTTGCACATCAAAAAAGCTCGGAAAATTCTTGGAAAGTTGTGTATGAAATCTGCATCCTTGAAAATCTGGACAAAATCTAAGTTAAAAAGTTCTTTCAAACGGCTGATTTAGTATGTGCTAGGATCCGACTGTACCGCAATAAAAGGAGCTTTAGGTGATTTCCGTTTTTCCTGCAGGTGTAAGCTGGAGCGTGTGTAAACAGAGGATATTAGCGACCAAAGAGTGTGTAAATAGTTTCAAGACACTCTGTATACGCTATGGATGTCGAATTCTCAAATATTCAGTGCTCATCATTTTCGAATATTCGATGCTCATCGAATATTCCACTATTCGATAAACATCGAATAATTAGATCAAAGGTAGCGGCCAGGCAAATCTGGACGGTAGGGCTTTCACGTGGATAGTAATTTTGGGTCCCTAACTAAGCCACTGCCCAGCGGGCAGCTCAGGTAGTGCACTAACGGCTGAGATATTCGCCTTAAAACTAAACTCCGAGGTATTCGCATGGATTCATGGCGCAACCCATCAATTTCGCGCGAGGACCCTTGGGTTGCGTCATGAATCCATGCGGAAGGCGATCCCTGGGATCCAGTTTCGAGGTGATTATCCCAGCCGTTAGTGCACTACCTGAGCTGCCGCTTGGGCGGTGGTTTACTAGGGCCCCAAAATTACGATCCACGTGAGAGACACATATGTCCAGATTCGCCTAGACGCTGCTCTAATGACCACCGAATATTCGGCTATCAGATAATATTCGAAACTTGAGATTTTCGAGTATTCGATTTTTGATTAATATTCGAAAACGAAAGTTTTCGACTATTTGACTATCAAATAATATTCGTAATTTTAGATTTTCGATTATTCGGATTACTGAATTATTTGCATTCGAGATCTATTCAAATCGAATTCGATTCGATCAATTCATTCGATTCGGTCCAAAGTACCATACGAACGTGTATATGCACCTTGCCATCGTTTCTTAGCAAACTCCAATGCTGTTCAAAGTTGAAGAGTTTCGGGGGCGGGTGGTTGTAGTCGTTTGTCATGATACTAATTCTATGCTTTGCTGTAGCTCACATGAGATCCCTCTCGTTAGAATGGGGTGAAGGAATAGTTTCGTTCGACCCAAAATACAGATTCTCAGAGTATCAAGCAAACGTGTATTTTAGGTATCTTATATCAGATGTCGTTATACCTCTGATGATTATACCCTTTTCATCATCATAGTGCTTATTTCAAAACTCAATTCAGGTCTCAGATGACGGTGTGACCATCAAAAAAACAGAGTTCTGTGATTGGGATGATGATGGGAAATATTTTGAATACCACTGTTTCTGCTTTGGCTTCTTCGTTTGCTATTTGATACCCGGAAAGTGCAAATATTTCAATTGAGCTATACATTTAGATACAAACTAAACTCTTTCAATTTTCAGGCGTTCTAATATCGAAGATGTATTGCGATATTGCCAAAGAAGTTGGTTCGTCTGACCTACCTGTCTGCTACTATAAGAGTGATGTGCGAGCGAAAACATCAAAAAACGTATTCAAAATGCTAGGTGGGTTACTAAGTTTGAAATGGCAGCAGCGTGCAGCTACAAGGCATACGCGTTCGCGTTCGGGGAATCCCTCATAAAAGTTTTTTTTTTCGTAAATTGTCTATAACTAAGCTTTCCTAAACTATAGTGATTCGTGATGAGCATCATTGTAGGGGCATGCATGTTCGCGAGAGTCGGACGTGAAGGTGATCACTACTTTGATAGTTTATCCTAACAAACACGTCGAATTATAATGAAACATTGACCTGCAACATGAAAAACCTGCAATACTAATCATAACCGTGATCTTACCATTGCAACTATGAAGAAAGCTCATTCCTTCGCGTAGGGACTTAGTAGTAGCTCACAGCATCCCTGTCCTTTGATCTCCTTCGTTTGCCAAGCATTTCACATCGTTTTTCCTTCTTGTTTTTCATTTCAGGTATAGGAGCCTGAGGATCGCGAGAGTCGGACGTGCGTACGGCCATTGCGCCGCGCACGTCAGATGTGCGTCCGACGACTCATTAGGTGCCAGACTTATCATGTTCAACAGGTTCATTCGGTTCACCACCTTTTTTGGACATATAGTGATTTTACCCATGAACCAAACGAACCGGTTGAAGCGGATAAGTTTGGCACCTGCCTTAGTGACATCGGACGTGCGCGGCGTGATGGCCGTACGCACGTCCGACTCTTGCGATCATGCAGGCCCCTATACCAATTGTTAAGTCTCACAGCTGCCACTGTTTGGTGCTGTCAGGGAAAATGTACTTGACAACCAAACTCTTTGGGGGTCTCCTTGCCTTTTCTGTATTTCCCTTTACCCACATTTCCAGTTTCCGCAAACGGCGCACCCTACATTGTCATTTGGAAATCGGATACATTATAGCCGGGAGGAGAGCAGTTTTTGAACAACAGCTGGTGTACCCGGCTTTGGATCCCTATCAACATATCATGAGCTTATGTTTCCGTACAACAATCAATAGCCTAATTTTACGAGTATAGGACGCACATTTTTCGATTGTTTAAGCGAGCTGCTCTGCCGCCTCGCTGTGTTACGGATCTCATGCAATATACAGCACCGTATATAGTTCTTTGCTCGCGAAGTACTTCAGCTGATTTGTGCTGTTCGATTTCAGAAGAAAATTCCCATCTCATACTCGCGAAATTAGGGTAGTCCGTGCCGCACTTCTGCGCTCCACTTCCCTGCTCAGTTGTGTTTCGGTAATTAGCACGCCTACCCAGCCCCTGTGCCAACTCGGCTCGTAGTTCACAGTTTGCGAAAATTTGATGAAATCGATGAAGAGCATTGATTTGATAATGGATGTTGTACAAACAGCTTGTTCATTACCCGCATGGCCATCTCCAATGGTAGCTCGATGTTCGCGAGAAATCGGTAGGATTAATATTGGTCGAAAACGAAGAGTAGCTCGTAACAGTGTTAGGGTTGAGCGTGGGGTCAGACGTTATCAGTACTGGAGGAATGACGGTCGTAAACAGCACACTAATTGGTTCCACAATTGAAGTTTTAGGCAAAATTCAAGTCTTCATCTTTTTACCTTGACATATGATAAGATCACCAAGGAAGCTTGCTGTGTATAATTGGTATCATTTCTGTAATCAGTACGTCAAATCACCTCTATAAGCTCTACAAACCATTCACTACCTAAGCATTTTCTAATGTCTTCTCAACGTTCGAAAAACCTAGTTTTCAAACATGATTAACTTGGTTTTAAAAGTGGAAAAAGTCAGCTTGTTTATACTCATAGCAAAATGATGTTCTTGACAAGTCTATGCTAGAAATCAGGTTTCATATCGCTTTCAAATAGTCGAATAAGAAGTGCTGCCAAATTCTAACTGGCGCGTTTTTCACCTTGAGTGATTCAACTCCAGAGATTACCACGAGGCCGAAACAAATCGAACCAAGCTCAAACAATTACTGTGGAATCTTCGACTTTGTGCTAGCGACATAAAACTTGGGTAAAAAAGCTTTTTTTGAGATGAAGTTAATGCGGTCAGGCCCACACTCAAAAGGTCAGGCTGCCCGAGTTTCTGTAGCCTTGCGCTAGCCCCCCTTAACTTGCCTTCAGTATTCAAAAATCGCTCCTTTTCTAGTATGAGCATTGACCCCAAAGTCTCTTCTTGCTGTATTGGAAATTTAGAGCCAAACACTTTACCTTTTTGGGAATAGCTTTGAAAAGAGGGCGTGTGATCGTGCAATCGCAGAAAGTCGGGCTTGCAGACTTTCAAAGAACAAGAACCCTCCAGTAGAGGCTGACCTTCTTCAACATAACAGAGGAGTCTTGGAGGTGAAGCGAAGCTGTCGTTTAGGGACTTTCACAAGGGGGGGGGGGTCGTTTTTGAAGAATTTGTGCCTGACCTCTTACTCAACCTCCGCGTAACACCTTCTCCTCTCCAAGACGCATGTGTGCATTTTTAGGCCCGATTAGTTCAGCAATGCATTTTCATTTAGAACACACTTGCAGAATTGCACACGTCAAACAGACATCCAGCTTTATGTGCAGGATGACCCAAAAAATGTTTCTACTGTCTCATCATTATTGTCCCTCTCGTCCGTCCTTCACCGACTTTCAAATATCACGCTGCAGATCTGGCTTCGCCTTAGATCTACATTAGAAAAAAACATCAACCGTACTTTATCAGTGTGGTAGGAACTTTGAAAGAGTTTTGCAACATCGGGAATCAATTTTTGCTCAAGAAACACTACATAGAATAGAAAATTTGTTACTGAATAAAATGCTTCAGAGCTTTACTCGTACTCAGAGCTGTATTTGTTTGCTTGAATCAATACATGCACTGATAAATGTCCTTCACTTTTTCTTCAGCTGCTTCAAGGCAAGTTCTGTCTAGCTTTGCTTAACTCCATTGTTATCTTCGTACGAGGGCCAGTCGTAGACCGGTTTGTTCTACCGGATTCCCCTTTCTTTCATCTAATATGGTGGTCTTTAATAATCAAACGGTCTCGGCTTGCATTCGGCCGAGGTTCGCGACAAGGCTAAAGACAGTCGTATCAGTACTAGAAACCTTAATTTTAAAAGATTCCGGTTTTTGAATGTTTTCTGTAGTTTTATTTGATTAAACGACACCATGCTGGAAGTTCTAACGTAGTTCTTTCTAGACTGCAAAGCTAAGTCGAAACCTGTTCTGCAAAATGGTACTCAGAAATCGGCAAAAGACATCAGACAAGTGCTTATTAATGATGAAACAGTAGTGACATTTCTGGGTCTTCCTCTACAAGATGTGAATATGGAGGTGCTTGGGTAGAGGACATTAGGTCGCCGAAAAGGGCTGTCCCGCACGGACATTTGCAACAAACCTCGCGCCCTGACAATTACTGCCTCATGCTGGCCGCCCGTGTGGGTAGAGCTTCTCGGCGACCTAATGTCCTCCACCCCAGGTGCTTTAATATTGGTTAGTGTTCGGCCATTTGCTACGTATTGTGGCCGAACCGACTTATACATTAATCATCCCGCAGTAAAGCGGGCGGGTTCGGGGGTCAACGGGGCTCTTCTGTTGTAAGCTTCCTCAGTGTCACAATAAACGTTCATAGCGACGTGTTGTGTCATCTCCCAGTTATAAGTTGCCCTATAGTGGCACAATTCTGGTGCATCGGCCAAATTTCTGAGCCACTATCTAGCCCTGCGGTAAGCAGCGCATTAATAGTTCTACCCATTGTGGAATTGAACTACGACAACGCCTTGTGCAATGTCGATTTCTTATCATAAAAAAACCATTGCTCGCGGCATACAATACCTTCAAGGATTTGTGGATAAATTCACAATATATACGAAGGAATTGCAACTAAAGCTTCATTTGAAGAGAACTATGAAGCGTGCCGCGAAACAATCAACAGCATAAAGGGTGCCATAAATACCCTCCAAATCAGCAAGGATTCGCTGCAGTTATTAATAAACCAACTGCTACGAAGTCACGAGGAGGCCCGTAAGATCAATAAACTAGATGCGGATAAAGAACTGGAAGAGGTAGAAATCCAGACAAATTTTACTGAGTATATGGCCAACGCCACCGAAATGGTGTGCATATTGACCAAAAGACTGTCGGAAGCGCAGAATTACGCCTAGAAAATGGCGAGAAAGTGGGAATAACCAGCAATATATCCCAGACCGAAACATTATCGGATCCTGGAAGACCTACACAGAGTAAAACTACTGATGAGGTAATTAATCCAACAGAAGCTGCCTGGCTTACAGAGGACAGTTCTGATGATAGCAAAATGTCGACAGATGGTAACGAAATGGCCAGTCAAAGCTTGAAGCTCCACCAAATGAAGCTACCACGCTTTTATGGAGACGAAGAAGAATTTCCCGAATTTTGGGGAATATTTACCACATTAGTGGATCAAAACAAAAGTTTGACCACAGTAGAAAAAATATTCTTTCTCAAAGACAGCCTTAGAGGAAGGGCTGAGCTAACCGTGAAAGGAATACAACTAATTCCGCAGAATTATACGTGGATGACCGAGGAACTCAAAAGAAAATACGGTAATAAACCGATAAATCGCACAAGAATCGTGCAAAAACTAGAGGATATGCTACCTGCAAATGGCTCCGCGGAGAGTTGCATGGATAGATACCATAAAATACGTGTCCTCATCAATCAAATGGTATCTGCCGGCCAAGACATCCGGCAAAGTAGCGATGCCCTGTGGACGGAAAAAATTATAGAAATAGAAACTATTTGCATTTGAGCCGTTACAAGATCTTTACTTTGTAGAAGCGACAAAAATTAGTTGATAAGTAAAAATCTAGCAGTTTTTTCAAAGCTACTTATACTTTCAGTGTTAGTGGCCGTATGTTTTTTTGTAACTTGGCTACCATTTCACGTGCAGAGGTTGCTCTTACTTATAATAAAATACCATGAAGGAAAGAGTATACCAAGCATCAGATTGCTACACTCCATTTTCTACAAATTATCAGGTAAGGAAAAAATTTTTCACACATAATTTGTTCCAATTCTTTTCAGAATGTTTCTATGTGAACTGTGCAACGAATCCATTTCTCTACAACATGTTTTCGAGGAGGTTTCGCAAAAACTTTTTATCTACAATTATTGGCTCGCGATTAGCAAAGAGAATTCGACCGGAGTATTACAAATAGCTTTATTCATATTTTCGATGCAGTCACAACAAACGCGGAATCTGATCGTTATCGCATCGTTGTCGTTTACAATGTTACGTTGTCGTTTACAACGTTATCGTTGTGATTTATATCATGGCTGTGTGCAATTTGAAAATTTATCATGACGTACGAAATAAAAGCAAGCGATATTTGGTCACTGCAATGACAAACACCAAAGAGAGCAGAACACGCTGCCTGATTCATAGTGCTTTCGTTTGCCTCTTTCGAAACTGGGTATGTAGTGCTAAAAGGACTGTACTTGCATCCTAGGCTTGTAGTACTACCACAGTGTAATGTACTTCCTGCCAACCTCGAACAGTTATTGCTTCATAAAGCAAACAAAACGAATTTAATCCTACTCGAAACTATTGGCTTTGACGCTGCGCAATAACCTAAGGCCTTTGCTGCAAGCAGTCATTGCCGAGCTACCACGCCGGTAAACATCAATTTGGTACATAAATAGCACGGCTAATGTTGCTACATCCTTCTACATTGTCTTTTTTTCGAATCGGACGAGCTTCGGATGTATCAGTGTGGGCCTACTCGCTCCTTGTTTGAGCACTTCCCATAGACGGATCCGTTGGATGTATTGGTAACGAACACAAAAGGGCTCATGAAGATGATTATCGATGCGTTTATACGCGTAAGCCGCGAATAATAGAAGAGTTGGAGAAAAGTGTCATCATCTGCAGGTTGATGATAGGACGTGATGTAGTCGATAGGCTCTAAAGACGGCAGCCAGTTGAAGCTCCTTGAGATTCATTGTGCGCAGCGGTAAGTGAGTAAGAGTGAGTGTTGTCTACCAAATCTTCCATTAGCCCGGGGAAAGCTTTATTCGTCATGACCTACTTTTTATTTGAGTACTTCTTTTCATAACAATAGAACCTCTTCAATAATTCTCAATGTTTTGAGTGTAAGCTTTGTAGGCTCGCGTGATGCGTGATAAGCTGCCGCAAAAGGCTTCTTTAGTCTTTAGAATAGAAGCTGAGGCGACATGGTAGTTGAATGAGGGGTGTTAGGCTCATCTTGCAGCCACAAAAAAACTTGATTGAGTTTGAAGTATATTTATTATGACAAACTCCGTGTCCTAGAGTAAGCAAGAACGGAAGAGTGACCTGGTCTTGAACAAGGCGGTCTAATATGCCACCACGACTTCATATTCTACAGGTAAATACAATCAGGCGACGGACATTTTTAGTTTTCACTCTGATCTTTTTTATATAAAATGCGTAAGTCAGCCGATCATTCTGTTGTGTACAGATGCATTTCTCTAGATCATCTGTGACTTAGAGCGAAATACCATCTATCTTTTGGGGGTGGGATTTGGGCTAGAGTGTACTTGAGGTTCTACTACCTCACTTACCGATCCATTTCCTTTGACGTTGGTGAAGGCTATGGCAGGCGTTGCGTATACTTCTTCGAGCCGCAGCGGCGCTAACTGAAGCTACTGTTCTTTTCTCTTCAAAATCTTCTTGTCGCTTTTCGTGTCGCTTTGGAAGTGGGACGCAGTCGCTAATTGCCCTATAGTAAGGTGAAGAACCGTTTTTTTCCTAGACAATGTTTTCGACAACGGTATCTCATCAATGCCGAATATTAAAGGCAGCGTCCCGGCAAAAAGATGGGTGCTGAGTTTTTGTGGCGATGTTGAAGTAGACCCTCTACTTAAGCGATGACTGAAGTTCGGAGCGGAAGAGGGGGTCTATCAATCCTGAAATTTGCTCCGAAAATGGCCCGAATCTTACGGTGGGCCCGGACGCCGCCTACACAGCAATATCGATTTGCAAGGCCAGAGGGCGTATAGCGCACACAGTCATGAGCGCAGGGTCCCGCAACGCTCTGCGTCTCTACCTTGCATGCATCTCGCACTCGCCCGATACCGTAAGATTCGGGCCACTTGAGGGGCGATTTGTAGACTCCGTAGACCCCCTTTCGCGCTGCAAACTTTTGTCATCGCTTAGTTAGGGGGTCTACTATTACACTACTACCAGAGCCAGGTACCCCCAGTCTGATGGGACGCTGCCCTTGAGAAGTGGTTTCCAGCTGGCATGCTCATGAGGCAGTGTTTCCTTAACTCATCGTTCCTCTCTATAGTCCATGAAGCTTAGAACTTAGCAAGGAGATAATCTTTGGCCTAATTCCATATAAAACTTCCAAAAACAGCAGCCATCAGGCAATACCTTCTGTTGCCGATAAAGTCGTCAGTCGTTATCAATTTTATATTGCGAATAATGTGCGATTATTATGGGCCGTTCGCGCCGTGTGCGGAGAGCACTATCGCGTCCATCGAAGACAGTTCATGACTGGAAGAGGCGCAGAGAAAACAAGCAGCTAGAGTGCACGAGGAAAGAGTGATGCGCTGTACACACTTTGCCAACTTTCCGCGACCCGTGCGTACGGGTCCTCTATAATTCAGAACGTCAAAACCGTAATTATAAAAAAGACTGCACTCAAAGCAGAAACATAACAATTGCTATGCATCATCAAGCATGCTGCTCCAGCGTCGGCTGTGGTGTTTCGACTTTAAATGAGTTTGTACTATAAATAAAGTGAATCGTAGTAGAAAGGTTTCCTTATGCCTTTTTGCATCTATCTCCATGCAGCTAAAGTGTACAAACAACCACTTTCGACTCTCCGCTACGGAAAATGAATGTAGTAAGAAGAGGATATCATTGCAGGGTACTTATATCTGTGGCGTAGAGCGAATAAATCTACGTAATGACCCTCCATAATTCTGTTCAATAAACAATTTTTAACGAAACTGGTTTAATTTTTACAGGTAGTCAAGTATCATGAGATGTAAATTCAAACTCAAATGTCTAGTTATGACATTACAGTTGATTTAGAGGTGTACTGTAACAACAAATGTTGTTCTTCAAGTAATTCTAATTTGATTGCAATTTTTGAATCTTGCGCAAACTCCTGTAAATCTTTAAATTCTGTGCATATCATGACAATTTTGGCATTGGGACTGACATGCTTGCGTGAGTAGATTTTTTGAAATATTGCGTTGTTATTTACTGTGAGTAATATCCTGTTGCCCATAAAATTGTTTTACAAAGTTTCTATGGATGGGAGTCGTCTTCAGGATAAGCTCGAGGAGCTTCTCATTGTCCGTTCAAATGTACCGTGAGTTGCCTCAAAATAAGTTTTGCAAGCTTCTTGTAGCTTTGCCTACTTAAAACCACCAACATGATATAAAAAGTTGACAACTTCGTGGAAGACCTTTAAGCCTCAATAAAATATTTGAGCTCTCCCGGAGCACGAGTGGCAAACCCGCTGGGCAGAGCCCGAAACCCTCCCATTTCGCTCCGGAGGTACCCTTTCGACTGTCTGAAAAAATTTTTATACTCCTTGGCCTAATATTAAGGAATGCAATGACATGTTGAAGGGTAGCTGCGCCGTCTTTTTACCTGAAGCTCCAGTCATGTCACGATGTTTAGAGTATACGTTGAGACTAGGATTAAGTTATTCGTGTTCACAACATACTAAGAAGACGAAATGGTCACTGTGTTAACTAGCTCAGTATGTTTTTTTTCTTTATGGGTAGTAGAAGCAGCTTTCGTAGACATAACTGCTTGTAAGCAGGTATCAAGTCGGACTTGATTGGGCAAGATGTCCAGTGTGGGCAAAACTGGAGCCTGGATAAGGTTTTGCAAACGCTTATTCGTTTCGCATGAAAAAATTCCAAATCCGTTCCAGCCTTTTTTGGAGTGAAAACATCGTCGTTAAGCATCTAATGCAAAGACTGTGACGCACTTATGAAAAAACCAGATGAGCACTTTGATAAATTTAGCAGGCTTTGTCGGAAATTTTCAGTAATCTGGCAAAAAAAGATAAAGACACCATTGCGCACTTTTAATAATGCCTTCGTTTTTAAGGCGATAAAGTTCCGGAATGGCTATCATCTGTAGTTTCAAAAGCCACGTTTCTACTTTTAGCTTCCAGAACCATTGCAAAAAAGTTTGGAAAGGGTCTGAACGAACGTTTACATCCATAACTCAGAAAATGATAAAATTAAAGGGTAACTTTTGTTGTGCACTTTTTATAATCCAAAAACAAACTCAGAAGCCTTTCAGAACCGTAATATTGCTACAAACTCAAAAGTAGAAATCTCTCGCCGTGACCTATTCAGAAGATACACTCATAAACAGCGATTTAGCGAGAATTTTGCTAGTTTACGCTCTACTCATTTTTGATGTGTTTTCGTAAGCGGTAGCTTTCCATTCCTAAATTTTCCATATATTTGAAATTGTCTCCTCCATCAAAGCAAGTAATTGATCTCAATTTGGATAAAAAGTGGCAGTATTGTGGTTCTCACTAGCAAGTCACGAAGAACATGAGCCAACTTTGACTTTACCGATTCCGGCGACATTGGAGCTTATTTGATAACTGATTAGCTTGCCACAATGAACTTTTGAAGAATTATTGCACTCTCAAACAGTGGCTTGGGAAAATTGCTTGCGAGATTTACGCACCTACATAGCCTTCTGTATCCGTGACTTCGAGACTGTGCTTGAAAATGTTGGCGATCCCTCTCCCTCCAATAATCTCCAATACCGGAAAACGCCACGAAAAGCACTTTTTTGGCTTTTCAAGTTCAGCTCTGGACTCAGCCCAAGGAGGGATGAACTCGTAATTGCAACTTTCCTGAGCAGTTGCTTTAGGGAGGTATATAACCGTGAAGAATAACAAGAAGCAAGCGTAAGGTTCCGAAATGAGTGTAGCTGCAAGTTGGACTATTCATCTATCCACTTATCTATTGATCCTACCACTTGAGCAATGCGCCAAAGTGCAAAAAATCATCACATGATTTCAACGAAATGAACTCTAGCATGCAGAGTATAGAGTTTTGCAGAGTTTAGTCACCATTTCTCATTCGTCATCAGAGCTAGCTGTTGGATTTGTCATTTGGATTTGTTATTCTCATGAGCAAAGAGTGGGAGACCTTTCATATCTGCTTTGACTTGTTTCTCTTGCTTTCATTTAGAGGATTAAATAGTGAGATATATATCAGGACTCATTAAAGCTGAAAAAAGTGGTGTCTCTGACTCATTTACAGAGATAAGAGGCAGTCATTTATTTGGCACGATAACGTTTATTGCGAAAACAGTTTTTATTAGATTATTT